TGGTGTACTTGAAGATTACTGCTCTGGCCGAAACATTTCAACATTCTTCACAAGAATTTGACTTCTCCCTTCAATGCTGATGTACTTTAAATGCTGAGGAATGACTCAAACATTTTCCACATTATTTGTCTGCATAGGATTTTTCTCCTGAATGAATTCGTTGATGTATTACAAGATTTGCAATTTGGCTGAAACTCCTCCCACATTCTTCACATATATAGGGTTTCTCTCCTATATGAATTTGCTGATGTACTACAAGGTTTGCCTTCCGGCTGAACTTTTCCCCACATTCATTGCACTGATGGGGTTTCTCTCCCGTATGAATTTGCTGGTGTACTTGAAGATCACTGCTCCAGCAGAAAGATTTCCCACATTCTGCACAAGAATATTGCTTCTCCCCTGAATGAGAGAGCTGATGTCTTCTAAAATTTGAGGAACGACTGAAACCTTTTCCACATTCTTTACACTTATAGGGTTTCTCGCCTGTATGAATTCGCTGGTGTACTTGAAGATCACTGCTCTGGGTGAAGCATTTCCCACATTTTTTACAGGAATATGGCTTCTCCCCTGAATGACGGCGCTGATGTACTTTAAAATTTGAGGAACGACTGAAACTTTTCCCACATTCTTCGCATATATAGGGTTTCTCTCCTGTATGAATTCGCTGGTGTACCTGAAGATGTTCATTGCGTCTGAAGGGCTTTCCACATTCAGGACATTTGTATGCTTTCTCTCCTGTGTGTATTCTTTCATGTCTTTTAAGTTCTGGACTTCTGTTGAAGCTCATGCCACACTCTATGCACTTACAGACTTTCTTTTCAGAATGCATTGGTTGAGGTGCTTTAAGATCAGAGCTAAAGCATTTCTGTTTCTCCCCTGTGTGAAATCTTATCTCTTCTGGGCTCCATCTGAAACTTTCTCCTTCCTCCAAATAGTGACACAAATTTATCTCGGCATGACATGTTGGACATTTCACTGGACTTTTCCTCAGAGGGATGTTTTGTTGATTCTCTGAGCTTTGAAGAGCACTGATGCTCCTGTTTGTTGTTTTTCCCATTTCGTCGCTTGGATATCTGTGAGATCTGTCTCTCCTCTGATCTGCCTGATTCTGCCTCAGTGATTCATTTCCATCCCAACAGTTCTCGTTTTCATCCTCCCCTCTTTCTGGCAATATCCCATGGTGTCTTACTTTTGCTGCATCTGCTTGAAGGAGAGAATTAATAGTGAATTGAGGATCTAGTGGGTTAAAGGGGGAAATAGTGGCAGAGAAGGAAGTTTATTGCATTCATTAACCTGCTTTGTATTCAGGAATTCCTTCTCATACTCCTTTCCTAAAATTTGTTTTTCTTGTTTAGTTGTTAAGTCGTGTCTGACTCTTTGTGACCCCATGGACCAGAGCACGCCAGGCTCCCCCGTCTTCCACTGCCTCCCAGAGTTTGTTCCAGGAGGCAAATTTTTAGGTTTAGCTAAAGACACAAGAGGTTCAGTGGCTAACAAGTGAGTGGTAATGCCATGAAAGACAGGAACAAAATTCAAAAATATCTTGATAAGCTCAAGCATTGGGCTGAAAACAACAGAATGAACTCTCACAGGGATAAGTGCAAAGTTCTAAATCTAGGGTAAATAAATCCCAGAAATGAACAGTTATAAAATGGGGGATACTTGGCACAGTAATATTATGAGTGAAAAGGATTTTGGAATTATTGTAGATCACGTGCAGAATATGAACCAAGAGCGCAAGCTGGCTGCATAAAAAGGCAAATGCTATTTTATCCTGCAAGTATAATCTCCAAATCACATGAGGTACTAGTTCTCCACTAAACAGCACTGGTTAGGCCTCATCTTGAGTTCCAGCTCCACTTCCGGTCACTTTAAGAGGGATGCCAACAAGCTGGAGCCAGTTGAGAAGAGAGCAACAAGAGTGATCAAGGGATATATACCTTCTAGATTCTGAGGGGCCTCTGAAAGGAGAAAAGGAGCTTCATCTGCCTCTTTTTGGTTGGCTCCTGCTTGCAGCTGCTTCTGTTCATCCTTAAGAGGAGCCTCTCCTTCCATGGTTGTTGATCAAAGGTCGACCTTCATTTGTCACCTTTAACAACAGAGCAGAACCTCAGTTATGAGTTCCTTTCCCTTCGAAGGGAGAATCTAATTCAGCTCTTTATAGATGGAAGTCATAATACTAACACCTTACCATTTGGAATTCCTGCACTCCAACTCCCCAAATTATCCCAACATTCCTCCTCTGGAGTAATTTTGGTAGTCCCAGTCTACAATTTCAAACACATTCAATTTCTAGACCTCAAGGCCTAGTTTGCACTATAGGTCTCTAGTTCCTGAGCCCCAAATTCCACTGTAGTTTTTGGAAGGCCCTGTCTCTACCTTCACCTCTGCTGGCCAGGATTTCTGGGAGTTGAACTCCAAGAACATCTGGAGGCCCAAGGTTGGAGACCACTGGTCTCTAGAAACAAAAGAGCTGTAAGATTATACCCAGGAGGCATTGCAACAGGAAATGAATGACCTAAGAAGCACTGCTAGAGATGAAGAAAACGCATGTGTCTCAAGGTGTGTGTCTCTGAAAAGGAAATCTCAGATTCAGGAATTCTGGGAACTGGCACCCAAAAAATCCAAAGGAGATATTTTATTTATTTTATTTTTATTTATTTATTTGATTTATATCCCACCCATCTGGTATATTTATACCATATCCCTGGAAGAAAACTCTCTCTCCAGCCCTACCACAAGTATGTCGTACATAGAGACCGTCTTCCTTTGGCAATATTTGCCCATTGCAAAGTTATCTCCTCTGTTTCACCTTTTGTTCTCTCTCAGAAGCCCCATATTTTCCTCTTACTTACTAAGGTGATGCCCAATTGCCCAGGAAAGCTCACAATCCAGCTACAGAGAAGCAGAAAATTTGGGAGAAAGAAATCAACAGAGGACTCACCCAGTGGGAGAATTTCTAGCAGGAAGAAACAGAGCAAAAGCCAGCACCCATATCTGGCTAAGGTGGTGATGGGGGTCTGGAAGTCTGTGTTTCCTTCTGCTGGTGACTCATTACTAATTGCAACTCTTCTCTTCTCTTTTTCCTTTTATCATGCCCACATTCCCACCTTGAAATTGAACCACCTGCTAAAAATTACCCAAGGATTTGCAAAGAAGTCTGGAGTTTGTAGTTCAGAGCAAAAGAGAGATTCAGGTATGAAGAAAATCTTTTTTCTAAGGGAAAAAATATTTGAGAAGGTGTTTTTTTTCATGTCGCCCATTGAATCAGTAGGGTTTTGGTGAGTCAACTACATAAGTTCCATTGATTCAAGAGGTCCTACTCTAGTACTCTAGTTGTTACTTCCTTTGCTAAAACAAGCAGCATTGGCCCTACAGAGGAGTTGATTCTCCTGATCCCCACTTGCTTCAAAGAGCCACAATAGTGCAACATATGATGTTAAGCTACAGGATTTCAGCCATCCACTGGAAATTGCGATTGACGTTTCAGTTCTGGTCACAGTCTGTTTCCCAAGGTAAGTAGGCAAATACCAGCCGGCATCCTATCCCTTGCCCCAGAGAAGGTTCTCAGCATGTTCTGGGCTCAGTTATATTTCGCTCACTCCAGGATTTGTTGTTCTTGTAGTAGTTATGGTTATTGTTATCTGCTTCTCCCTCATGGCAACACATTGAATTAAGAGACCCCCTGCATAAATTCACTCCCACTTGTGGCAGAACCTGCTGCTTCAGATGATCATCTCGCTCAGCTTCATGGTAGGGCAAGGGTAGGACCTTATTAATATCAGCAAAGTCTGAATACAGGCCTTTTCTAGGCCGTTGGTTCTTCCTCCCTCTTTTCTATATCAGTGGCACCCATTCACCTTCTCTGCATGATGGAGCTGTGAAGGGCCCATCTGCACTGACCATGGGTTTCACTCCCCTTGTGCCGGTGCGAGAAGATACCCTTTCACCTGCAGTTCACGTGATGCTGGGCTAAAACTAGCTTTACTCTGCCTGAAAGAAAATCAGAATGGTGCACAATCCGCTTGTGTGGGCCCAGTAGTGCACCGATTCACGGTGATGTCAGGGTGGAGTGTGATCAATAAAATCTCCTTAAATAATTGTAAACATTTTAAGATGCAAAATAAAAATAATTAAAAACATTACACAACTTTAAAGCTGAGTTTGTCTCTACGCCAGCAATCACGGATGGAAATATACTTTCTTGGGCATGTGGTCTAATCATGATATGCCATCTGTATTTAGAAACATTCCCCATGATGGTTGGTGTGGGCGTCATGTGAAGATAGAGCCAATATACTAAGTGTCAATCTACCCTTAATACAGGGAGGAAGAATGTGCATTTACTTAAAACACAAAGAGTTGTTTCTAGAGCATCAAATATTACAGATACCTAGCTTATTAAAAAACAGGCGATAACTTTACAGACCACATTTTAAAAAAACAACATACAATTTGCAAGCTTTAATGGGTAAATTCCATTTCTTCAAAGCAAGTACCAAAGGTACAAAAATGGTACCTACTTTTAAGAATATTGCATATTGTATGATTTCTTCTTGCATAATGTATGATTTTTTTAAAAAAAACTTTTAGTAGTCACCTATAAAGGGATGGCCTGACTTTACAGACCACATTTTAAAAAAACAACATACAATTTGCAAGCTTTAATGGGTAAATTCCATTTCTTCAAAGCAAGTACCAAAGGTACAAAAATGGTACCTACTTTTAAGAATATTGCATATTGTATGATTTCTTCTTGCATAATGTATGATTTTTTTAAAAAAAACTTTTAGTAGTCACCTATAAAGGGATGGCCTAACACCTGTTCTTGCATTTGTATTTTGTACCGGCCACACGGCTCCGGTCTTTTATTTCAATAGCTTATTAAAACATTGTGAAGGTTAGGAGAAAGTCAGTGTGCCGTCTCCTCTGGTGAAAGAGGACATCAAAGAGAAGGGTGGCAGTCTGGAGGAAATCGGTGGACAAGAGAGAGTTAAAGCAGAAGTTTGTTTGACAGAGGAAGGGAAAGGAAAGGAGGAGGAGCAATGGGTGTGGGAGGAAGGTGTAAAAGGGGAGGAAAAGGCAGGAGAATTGCAACTGACAAGGGACAGAAAAAAAGAGGAGAAAGAGGAAAGAAAAGCGCGCGAAGTAAGAGATCTTTTGGAGGACTTTCCAAATCTGAGGGTCAGTGGGCTGTTACCAGATCCAGAGCCTAAGCGAGGAGGCGTGGTGGTACAAGAAACGACAGAATGGACGGTGGTGGTGTACCCGAGAGGTCAGGGTTCTTGGAGGACGGTAGTTCGACCGGACGCGACTTTCGACAAACGACCGCTGGAGGGAGATTGGGCACGACACCCTTGTTGTGGAACTCTCTCTGCGGTGAGAAGTGCCCCCCTCAGGAAGCCTGCCAACAAGGAGTGATTTGATCTGGCTTCCCGGTTTTAAGAAATGAATATGTTGCAAATCAATATGAGCAGAAAGTTGAATGAGTGGGACAGTTTGGAGCCCATAGAAGTTGTTATAGATACACCGTTGTTAAGAGTTAATAAAGTTCTGTTCCACGAGATCAGACTCCTGGCTTTCGTGCACATCTTGGTGAACCGCCAAAAATAAATTATGAACCTTTTGACAAATATGCATAATGAATGTGAGACGGGAGGCGAGTCAGGATTCCTGCTTGCTGGAGCACCGTCCCTCCTCGTGAGTGAGACAGAGGATAAAGGGAGAGGAGAACCCTCGCCAACATCAGATGAAGCATCACAGGAGTCGGAACTACGTAGAGGAGATGGCAGAGGAGTTGAAGGGGATGAAAATAAAGGAAGATAGGTCGGAAAATGCAGGAAGGGAGTGAGAAAAAGGAGGGGAGATTGAAGCAGGGAGAGGAGAAAGGAGAAGAGAGAAGGGAGAGTTGTGTCTCAGTTTGGAGTTACCCTTGGACCCAAAAATGGGGGAGGCTTAGAAAACCTAAAGAGGAAGCTGATTATTTATAGGCGGAGGACGGTGATTCCAGCACAACCCTCTTTTTGGGGAGAAGCTGAAGCAAGAGAGTGGAGAAGGAAGTTAAGAGAGGAGAAAGAGTGGGTAGAGAGAGAGAGGAAAGAGAGGATAGAATGGAGAGCCAGGGAGATGAGGAGACTAGCCGAGAGAGAATGAATGGGAAAACAACTGGAGCAGGAGAGAGGTTCCCAGTAGGATTATTTCGATTTGGACAAGACCGTGCTCCTGCCCGATGTTCCGTCGGGGATTATCCTGAAGGGATGGACACCCCCTGAGTTACTGGGATATTGGAATAACAGTTATAGCAACTCTTTTTCATTTGATGGTTGGAAACCCCTTCTGGACCCGTTGGGAGAAGGAGAGAAAGCACGCTCACCCGTTCAGGACACTTGTTTTTTACTTTGAAGCACAAATAAATGTTCCACAGTTTTCACTGCAGCCTGTGTTGCCTGAAGATATTGTGAAACAACCAGACCCTACTAACAACCAGACCCTACTGCCGAACCCTCACAGTGAACTGAATTTTCCTCCCCCCCTACTCTGCCCTCTTCATTATTGAAGAGCCGCGTGTCACATCTGAGCTCCTTCTCAACCTCGCCTGTCTTCAGGAGAGTCTCCTTCCTGTAGTCCAGGTACTTCCACAGCCACTTGATCCGGTCTCCCTCCAGGAAGTTCTTCCGGCCCTTGGTTCAGAGTCGGTCGGCCTCCCACCATCTCTTGGTCACTTGGGCTTTGGAATCAGTGGCTGTCCAAATGAGAGTCTCCTTGGCTCCAGGCTGAGGAAATCCTTCCCGTCATAGCCGAACAGGGAGTGGCCCCCTCTGCGTCCATCATTGCCGAGATCACAGCCGTGCATCCATTGCCAGACCTGGAGCCCTGGGAGATCGAGAGAAAGACACAAGCACTGTGTGATTCCACAATGCAAACCAGGGCAGTCACACCTTTATTCAGTGAAGAAGAGGGCATCAAAAGGCACCCAAGCTTTCAAGATCTCCAGATCTTTTCATCAAAGGCTACACAACGAAGCCCCATCTTTTCAATACCCCACTCTCCCTTCCCCTACACCCTTTGTTTTAAATAACAGTTGCCTATTTTGTGTGAAGACACACACCCAAGCTTTCAAGATCTCCAGATCTTTTTATCAAAGTCTACACAAGGAAGCCCTATCTTTTAAATACCCCCCTCTCTTCCCCTAAACCCTTTGTTTTAAACAACACTTGCCTATTTTGTGTTGACACAGGAACTGTGCAGGAATCTCTTTCATCTTCATTTTAGAGAATTTCAATACCACCAGAATTTTTAACCCTAGAAATATTTCAGCCGTTGATTTCCTGCATCAATTGGGGTTAACCTATGTGGGTTATTCAGCTTTTGAAAATCTGAGGCTCTGACGGTTCTGAGCATCCCGGAAGATGTTCCTAATTACCGCGCAGACTCCAGGTGGCTTTTTCTGTTATGGTGAGACCACACCATATTCTGAGCTTTCAGAAGCAGACCTTCAACATGCAGTAGAAATTAGGTTTATATAAAACTTGCCTCTCAGCACCTCTTTGATCTGTTGCCTCGTGACCAGCCAGATGGTAATTCAGCACCTCTTTGATCTGTTGCCTCGTGACCAGCCATGTGAGATGGTAATTTCAGTGGGTGAGGAGAATGGGAGTTGTGATCCAACACATACAGAGGGGGCCAAGTTGCAGGAAATAGAAATTACATGTGCGCACAAACACAGTGTTCCAAAACCCATTTCTGTTTTTATTTTTGATGGCTCTTTATGGCCTTGTCCGGTAGCAGGCACAAGCACACCCAAAGCCCACTGAGGTTGCCTTTTATTTTGTTTTGTTTTGTTTCCAACTATTGAATCAGATGTTTTGGCAACTCAACAAACAACTCTCTGGGTCACTCCTAGTGGATATAAAAACAAGGAACAGCTGTGTTCATCAAGGGGGGAAAATAAGCTATTGAAATAAAAGGTTATACATATACATATACATACACACACACATGTATATGTATATATGTGTATATGTGTGTGTGTGTGTGTGTGTGTGTATACTATTTTATTCTATAGTTAATGGCACATTATTCACAGTCTAGGATGACTGACTAGAAAGAAACCTCTCCGCATTCACCTTCCTTTGACATCAGTGGATTCTGATCACTGTCTTCCTCTTGTCACCGTAAACCACCAAATGGTCCCCTCATGTAGACATTCATTCA